CCATGATTGCATGAGTCAATTCCAAATAAATGAATGAATGAATGAATGAATGAAGGCTTCCAGCATCTTTTCTTTACTCTGGGGCTCTTTTTCTCCCCCCTATTCCAGTGATGTTGGGGAGACACTACTTTCCCAAGTTAAAACTTTGAATCTTTGCCCTAAAATCCCAAACAGTCTTCCTTCTAAGTAGAGGGTGAGAGCCCTGATACTGACAAGGATGCCCAGACGGGGAAAGGTGATTTCGGGTTTTGAGGTGGTGGGAGAGGAGACGAATTCAACAACCCTTCTCAGAGTCCTTGATTTTATATTTCCTGCTAATGCCCAAGGTAAAAATCGTTGGCTTGGTTTAAGTGCCTTTGTTGGGTTCCAAGCCCGAACCACCAGCACCAGCAGCTCACCCCACTGTGGCCTGGGGAGGCTGAAGACCACTTTTCAGCCTGATGTGATTTCCAACAGCTGAGGTATTAAAACACTGAAAAACGGGGTTTATAATGGAAATGCTGACAGACTATTAACTGTAGCAGCTCTGCTCTAATAAATGGAATGGCCTGTCATAATCTCTAGTTCATAAATATGCAAATACAAGACTGGGGATTTGCTCCAAAGGATGTCTCTATAATTTTAACTGACCTTTACTGATACCAAATGAGCCTGTTGCTCCTGTTTTTGTACACTGGGTATAAAGCACAGGAAATCCAGCCGCCTGTCGGCCTAAAGTGTACAAAGTTGAAACTGCCAGCTACTAAACTCTGGGCTCCGATTCCATTTCTCCTCACATTCACACTCTTTATTGACATTTTCATTTTTTTTTCCCCAGGGGGTGGAAGCTGAGTGGGGGCGAAATCAAACATTGTTCATCCCCCTTCCTCACCTCCCCCCATTATTTCCACATGTCACAGTGCCTGCCCGGCCAAAATTCATGGATTGCCTCAAGGACAAACAGGCCATCTACACTGAATTACAAATTTGAGTTTTATCCAGTTTTTCGCTTTTTGGACCAAATGGGCAGCAAATCCTGTGACTTCATATTTAATAACCTAGATGTCATTTGTCCGGTGTCTTTCAGCCCAGAGTGAAGAGTTGGATGGCTAGCCGTTTTGCAGATTTTTTTCCCCCTAATTATTTTAAGCTATTCAGCCTGGTATCCGAACTATTGATGCCGAGCCAAATTGCCAGCAGGGGAGAGATCCGTCCAATCCAGGAGCTAAATGAGTCACTGAGAGCCAATCTGTTTTTTCCCTTGCTGCTGGGGTTTCCTCGGGCCGGCCTGTCCGCCGCGGACACACACACACACACGCACACACGCGCGGAGCCGCAGGCCCGCCCTCGTCGGTTTCCTCGCCTCGGGTTTCCGCGCTGGCCCTGAGGGCGCGGCTGTGGCCGCTCCTGATGGGCTGGCCGCGGAGACCGAGGGCCACCGCCACCCTCTAGTTGAGGCCTCGCTTTGACAGCAGATGAAGACGTCTTGGCCTTGTTGAGTTTGC